CTCTACTCTGACAGTTCATGTAGAGCACAAAGCTCTGCTCACTGTGCTGTTTTTTGGCTTTACACTCTTAAATATTTACCATGGGACATATAGGAAGCTAACAAACCAAACTGAAGGGCTGTAAAAGGGTTCCACTTTGGGCTGAGACTCTGCACAGGCAACTATTGTTTTCCTGAGCATTCTTAGTTTTGACTTGTCTCCCGGTTGAGCCATTGGTGCTGACTCCTGGCTTGACCCCTCAGCTCTGACTCCTAGACTGACCTCTTGGGTTGACCCTGGCGCAACTCCTGGCTCCAACTTGACAGCTGCCCACAGCTCAATTCTGACATCAGTCAATTTTATTTCCTCCCTCCCTTCCTTCCATAGAAAAAAAAAACAGAGGCGCCATTCTGCCAACAGGGCAAAGACCCTTGCTATTTGCCCCTGAGATCAATAAATAAGACCCCACAGACACAAAAGCCACATCTTAAGATGTTCACTTTTAAGTGTACAGTACTTCTTTTCCCCCAGCAAGGCGGGCAGCAATAAACAGAAACCTAATTTTTGCATTCTGGTTCAGATGTTGATAGACCTGGCAATAGCTTTGGGAACATCTGTCGCCATGCGTAAGATGTGCTGTTGTGACTGGATCATGCATGCATGCTGACTATTTGATTCTATAAGCTGACATAAAGCTTAAGCCTCTGCGTGTTTACTCAGAAATAAGCACTACAGCAGGCATTGGCAACCTGGTGCCCTCCAGATGTTTATGTTGCCTGTGACTAGTTGGAGTTCAAAACATCTGGAGAACACCAGATTGGCAAAGTCTGCCCTACAATTTTCAACTGAGCTTAGTCACAGGTAAGTGTGCATAGCACTGCAGACAAAATATATTGGTCTTTCCGATGAAAGAAAGAAAGGAAGGAAGGAAGGAAGGAAAGAAAGATTACTGTCTCACCAGATGGTGACACTAAGCAACAGTTTGCAGTAGAATAGGATAACAGTCCAGTGAGGCTTTAACTTATTTTTTATTCAAGTGTTTATACACAATAGCTACCCTAAGATAGTGAAGTATGGAGCCAGGTTTTGAGAACATGTGTAACATGTTGCACATAAAGTAAAGTGAGAGCCACACATCAAGTTGTACATATATTGCATGTATTGCATGCAGAGTCAATCCCAGACTTCAGGAGGCCCTTGGCAGCCAGCTGCCCATGCCACTCTCAATGTAAATCTGTGGGCCGGGGCATTATATTTTGGGTAAATTCAATTGGCAGATAGCAACTATGGATGGGAGTGAGCTTGACTCCTATTCAGAAGCAACAGCACTGCCCTTCCAGTACTAAAATGATTGTTGGGGACCACTGGGGAGGATAGTAAGTGATGGCACAACCAGGTCAAATCCTCCTGAGCTACTGGGACCCTCAGCCTGTGCCCAACCTAGCTGGCTGCTGGCACCAGAACTGACTGCATGTTTGGATTGTCTCAAACATCTCCTCAAAGGCAGAACTTTAATCACTGCTCACAACACCCCAATCACAATCCTTTTCCGCAGAGTCAGTTTGCATATGCAGCTGGCTATTGCAATATCTGAACTGTCCCTCTTACCCAAATGCACACACCTGCAGGGGAAAATAACTGAGTAGTGACTCCATGTGCAGTCTCAATTCTTCTCCCTGCTTTAAGATTCAAGAGGGCCCACCTCCAAGGACAATGTGACAGCATAATAAAATATCATGACCACTTAGTAGTAACTAAACACCTTAACAAAAACTGCCGATCTAATGTAGTGAGCTCTACCATGTCTTTAGCTCGCCTGTAATATATATAAGCCCGGAGGTAATTGCAGCTTGCACACTGAAGATAGAAGCTAAGCACCAACTAAATTATGATTAATGAGAGATTAAGGATTAGTCACAATGACAACTAAGAATTATACTTCGTCATTATCTGTTTTGGTCACAACGACACAGAAAGCAATCAAAATTTTCATGCAAATCCTGCACTTCTGCATTAAAGTAATAATGAGATTATTCCAGTGGAGCAAACCAAGAGTCAGAAATAATAGATTTATTGAGTTTTCAGGAATTTAAAAGACCTTCTTTGCTGAATAATAAATTCACTTGTTTAACCTGTCTCATATATGTTCACTGATGTCCTGGAATATGAAATTGTTCAGTGTTAATGAAGTGTGATATCAACAATTTACTTTATATTTTAATGTTATCTGTCATGTTTATAGTGGGCCTGAAACTCTGCTCTTGCCATTTCTTGCCGACGATAGACCACTTTCACTTGCCTCCCACTCTCTGCTTGCCTCACCTCACACCACCCTTCAGCTCAGTGGGAACTAGCTCTGACAGTGACATCAAGTCATTCACTGCAATGCTTCATCTTTATATAGTTACAACAGTTGGGTTTCTTCACTGGATAATGCACAGAACATTCTGACACTTTAAGGATCTGCTGTGCAGGTTGCCAAGAAAAATAGACATGACTATTCCAAAGAAAACTTCTTGTCAAGAACTTTATCAATAAAATTAATCATACTCCTCATAACCCTCTAAAGAGAAGAAAAATTAAAAGGAGCAATATATACTTGTGATACGATACAGAGGACCCCACACAAGTGGAGTGTGCTTTATAGGGGATGCACAAACACCACTTGAACTTTAGATTTCCAGTCATCTGCACCCAGCTATATAACATTATACTTTCAGATTCTAATTGTAGCTTTATAGATACTATGAAAACAGTCCAGCCAAAATTAGGAATTATGCAGCACACCTCTTTTATAGTGTGGATTTAGAACCATTAAGCTCACAACAATGTCTAAATAACTCTCCTAGACCTCTGATATCAGAGATGGAGCTTCTGTTTCCACTGGTCCATAGTACCATCCATCTTCATTAAGAGGCTGGCTTTTACTGGCTACTTTTCTTAATTTATTTTGCTATAATGAAATATAATTACTATATTATTTGTTATTATTGTATAAATCAGTCTTCAGCATTGCCAACCTCCAGATGTTTTGAACTACAACTTCTATCAGCCCCAGGCAGCCCACAACAGTGGTTGGTACAAAGAAAATTAAAAGTAAAACAGAGGAGACAAGATGGAACTCTAGAAGATTATACAAGGAAGGGAGTGCAGGTAACATGAGCTCTCATCCATCATTACTTTTTGTGGTCTTTCTACCAGAAACTAGAATAACTACTCAAAAGCAGTCCCATGAATGTCCTGTCCCCAATTTTAACCTTCAACTCCCACAATTTAGTTATCAACATCTAATGATCCAAATGCCAAAGAATCAGGGTATCAATAGAGTGCAACTTTCATTACTGACATCTACTGTAAGCTCATCAGACAAAGCCACAAGCACAGTCTCAGAAAGAAGATTAATCTTAAAACTACCAAAAGGATGAAGAAATACAACGTTTTACAGAAAGCTGAGATCAAGAAGATTGCTTTGTCAGAGAATATGAGCAGTTCTACAGAACGAAGAAGCACACAGCTTCATGCTACTGTAAATGACGGTCCTTCCAAGGAATTGTGGGGTGGGGGGGTGGAACTCTTTAAGTCTTCACTGTTCTTTGGAAAACCTGTCAAAAATGTAGTTTCAGATTCACCTAACTCTTCAGAAAAGAAAATGATGGTAATAGAAAGCTTGTCATTATGACAAGAATCCAAGGAAAGAAAGCACGGGAGACTAAATTGCTGTTTCTAATTCTCAACTCTCCAAATGTGTGGAAGCGGTGTTTTGAGGGGATTTGTTTTCGTTCTTAAGTATAAGGACATTATATGTATTTGTTCTGGACTGGAACAAGTAATTACTTATGTTAAAAAAGCAAACAACAACAACAAAGATGAAGATGTAGAAATGTATGTGACATTTCCCTCCCTCTGGCAAAAGAAACCTTGCTTTGTTCAGTAATCTCATCCCAATAATTCAGTTGGTGTCCCTACATTTTGTAAAAGAAAATGTGCCTGAGATCTATTATTTTCCTGCTAACTATTATAAATGGGTGGTACAAAGAATGCAGAGCTCTGAAGATGTTGAGTGCCTGAACATAATCTGGAAAGCCTCCTTGGTGTGATAATACAGTGGCATTAAAATGCTGGAAAGGAAAATGTAGAGACCATGCTTAAAATGGTTAAAATATTCACCTTGGAGACTGACATTCTTCCCAAGCTGCAAGAAGCTCTTTAAAAAGAAATTATAATGAAACATTAATTCGAAAATGATCCAGTCTGAAATATTAATCACAGACAAAAATAATCACAGCTGTGTAATTTTGCAGATGAAGGCTGTGATCCATAAATGTTCCCTACTGCCCACGGGTACAGTGCTCCATTTATTCCTCCGCTGTAGTTTGCACAGGTAGCTGAACCTTGTCAAACCCCAGCCACACCTGGGGCTGAGAGATCACAAATCTCTAGTGCCACATCATCTGGTTGCAACAACTACGTCTCCCACCTGGGGAAGAGGATGCTGCAGGCGTATGGCTCCTCAGCAGGTGTTATTACAACTGGCCCCATCAGTCATGCAGCAGAATTTATTATTGTCATGCAACATTTGGGACGTGTAATTTCTCAAGCTCAGGTATGCCTGGAACATTCCAGGGATCAGGGGCTGGTGGGTCACCTTGCAGTGCTCTGCTGCATGGTTCTGTGGGTTCTTCTCTCCCCCCTTTTATTGTTTGTTTTTCAAAGTATGTTTTTTGCTGTATTTTAAGTGGATGTTTTTAAATAAGAATAAGAATAAACATTTTGCATATTACAAAATACAGAAGACATACCTAAATTAGTAAATGGTGTTATGTGCATGAAGGACATATCCATCTCAAGCTTTTCTGGTTTTTTCACTGGACTGCATTGGTATTGCACGCTATCCTAACAGCACTGGTGTTGGCATCCGTCTGTCTTGGGAGACAATGGAGGAGTGCATCTTTGGGGGTGATGTGAACCCATTGGAGAGTTACAGTGCCTGCTGTGGCTGTAGAGACCGATAAAGGAGAATTGCAGTTCTACTCAGTCGGTAGAGCATGAGACTCTTAATCTCAGAGTTGTGGATTTGAGCCCCACATTGGGCAAAAGATTTCAGTATTTCATGGGTTTGGACTAGGTGTCCCTTTTTTATTATTCTACTGTTAACTGAAGGTGAGGATCTGGCTCATTTGTGAATTTCACAGACTCGTGTCCTCTTCATTATTCATGTATGTAATAAAGTCACCGGAAGCTTTTTTAAACCGATTTTATTATTGCAGTTTATCCCAATATTGGGGAAAAGGGGGTGAATGAATGAAGTGACTTTTTTTGGGTGGGGGGGAGTAGGAAATAATAAAAAGGAGGGAGAAAAAAGTGGACAAAGTTGACCCAAGAAATGTTGGTGCCTGAATCTAACAACAAGGTGGTGTGCCTCCAAGTGGATTGAAATAAGATTCAACACTGGCGATGGGATAGCATCGTCTGCTGTAATTGAGGACAGCAGACTAGCTTAGGAAACAGAGGGCAAGATAGACAGCAGGCTAGCTTAGAGAGTATATGACAGACTGTGCAACACACACTTCATTCTGTCCTCCAATATCTTGCCCGTGCTCACTGCCCAAACACCCTGCATCTGCTGCCTGAGGCAGCTGCCTCACTCTACCTAATGGTGGGACCAGTCCTGAAGGGTTGTAGAATTTCAAAGAAGCAACACACAGCAAACTGATGACTATAGCAACATAGGAAGCTACCTCATGCCAAGTCAGACCATTGGTGCATCTGTTATTGAGCATGTCTCAATAAAAGCTGAGCAAATGTCTTCACATTTGTCCTCTTTGCACATATGTCAATACTTTGCCAAATAGGGACAAATAATGCAAATCATTAATCCATTGTTGTGTGCCTTCTTTTTTTTAATGTTGGAGAACCATACACTGAACCATTCCTGTTGCAAGCATGAGTCACTGCTCATGATGGCCACACAGATTTATGGAGCAAGCCTGGGCTTTGTAGTTAATTACAGCTGTGAGTACAAAGTGCATTATTAATAGCAACTGCAATGTTATAAAATTAGAGTCATATGGGCAAATGCTAAAAGCAAGGGAAACATATTTATAATGAATATGCTTCATTCACTGTTGTTGCCTGATATGAATGAAACACGTTAAGTATAATGAACTTACACCGATAGCACATCCTAAGGACTCAGGAATTTGTTCATGGCATCTTAGCTAATAGAACTGAGGAGGAAATACAGTGAAACACGTAAAATATTCATTACCCGTCATGAGAAAGGCACGGTGGGAAAATAGGCGGGGGAGCAGATTTTCATGTAAGGCCATCATTATAAATAAGAACGGAGATTGTTCAGTAGTTCAAAACTCAGCTCAGGTTGCAAGCAGAATACATGACCAGCATAAAGGTTATTCTAATTACAGCTGATAATGAAGTTTCAGAGAGAAGAATGTTTGTGTTATGAGAGCTAATAATAATGTTTCCAACGATTCACAAATGCCATTAGGTTATGGTGATCAAATCCCTGCTTTGTCCGCTACAAAAGTCTGTGTTAATAATTAGGATGTGTGAGCTGTGGAGATGAAATGTATGGAATAATTTGTGTTGCAATGTTGGGAACAGCCATCAGAAGAAAATAAAAATCTACTGGAGGTAACTAGCAAACTATGACAAGTATATATTGTTTCGAATGTCTACCATGCAGATCATACAGTCAAACTGTCCAGTTTGAGTTTAAAATCGTGTGTCCCTACCCTGAACTAACTGCAGTTTCCAGACCATTTTCAAAGTTAGCCACACTTATAATGTGGTACATAGGTAGTTGCCTTATACTGATACTGAGTCCATCTAGCACAGCATTGTTTACAATGACTGACAACAGCTCTTCTGGGTTTCAAACAGGGGACACTTCTAACCCTATCCGAAAATGATAATGATTTAGACTTCCTAGCCACTTGCTACATACACAAGAGATCTTCTCCAGGGCAGAGGTGAAAACTGCCTATAAAATATATTGGAGAAGTGTCAGGTACCACAGGTCTATGGAAGTATCTGGATTTAGCGCTGTCCAAGGCTACTTTTTACCTTCTTTTTTGAAATAAAAATTGGTAAGTCTCTTTTTTATTTAGACCTTGGTAAATATAGATCACACATCCTTTCCATCTTGGCATGTTTTATAGTTGACTTAGTGCTGGCTTGGTCATGTCCATAGAATGCTAGATGGCAGGATTCCTAAGGACATGCTCTATGGCCTCCGCACCAGGCCTGTGGGCAGACCAACTCTGCCTTACCAAGATCTTTGAAAATGTGACATGAAGGCTGGCGACATCAGCCCTGCCATGTGGGAATCCCCTGCAGACGACCACGGTGTCTGGAGACAGGCAGTCAAGTTGTATATCCATAGCAGTGGCCAGAGGAGAAATAACCGCTGGGAGGATCGCAGAAATGGCATGGTACATCTGGATGCCTTTATCTGCCTCAGCTGCAACAAAACATGTCTCTCCCGCATTGGTCTCTACAGCCATAGCAAGTCCTGCAACCTTCCAACAGAGGGGCACTCCCCTGAGACAGACAGATGCCAACACAGCACAGTAAATCACATAGCTGTATCCTATATTTCTTTACCGGAAATGGTGATAACTTATCCTTTTTAAAAACTTTTTTTAAAAAAAATTGCAACCATCAGTCATTATTTTTTTAAAAATTAAACAGAAGGTAATGATGAAATCCAGGATTTTAGTGTGACCCTGTTTGGGCTTCAGCATTTTACCTTCCCTGCCACAATCGAAGTAGCAGCTCTTTGGTCTTTTTGCTTTAAAAAATATAATGAAATGAGTTTTACGTTGTTTTAAATTGGCCTGCCACAAAGCCAGAAAATATCATTAACTTCCTAATGCACAGGTTGGGGATAGGTGACTGTATATGGAAAAGATTAGTTCAACTAAGCAGAAGTGGGTTTGTTTGTTTTTAAATATACACAATCAACTTAAATTATAAAAGAAAAAATATTTGCAAAGCGACATTTAAGAAGGGAGAAATCTACATGCTTTATATGCCACTGCTGGAAGCCCCATAAAAGGGAATACAGAGCACTTCCACTTTTTCACCCCTCTCCCACTATATTTATGTTAATATATTATTATTATTATTAATGTGAAAGGGAAAGTAGAAGAGAGGCATTTATAATGTGAATGAGCATTCTGTCTAATGTGGGCTTTACATTCACATCACAAACCAACTGAAGCAATACATTATATATACATTACCAGAAACCAGGCAAGTAAGTGAAAAATCAAAAGAATGCAGGATATATAATCTATAGTACTGTATAAACAGCATTGGCAATGGCATGGCACTATATTAAAAAGAAGTATGCCTTCCAATAAGTTAGATGAACTCTTCAAGAACAAATTCAAACTCTTCAAATTCCACTGAATTCCTATGCGTGGAAATTTCAGGTTATATTATGCCCCTAAATAATGTGCTAAAGATGCATATAAAACAAAGTTACTTCATTTAGCTTCAAACTGACTGGCTAAATCTCACATGAGGCAGAACACCAGGAAAAAATGTATAGATAGGTACAAAAAATGTTTGTGTCATGGGACTGATGAGAGAAGAGGTGACTATTGATTATTTTCTCCTAAGGGGTGCCATGTTGCAGTCGCTAAAAAAGAAAATAAAGATTCTAGTAACTGTTCCTTCCACTAGCTCATTTTGTTAGTAAATGATTATGCTATAGTTTGTGCCAAGATGTCAGAGAAAAGACCTGTTGAGACTTGTTTGATGTCAGCGCCTGGAACAAGATCACATAATTTCTATATTTTAATCAATACCATGCGTTTTGGCGATTTTGAATGCACAACATTCCTTTGAAAGTTGAGGCTTAAAACAGCTGAATAACAGTTTTTTAAAGGTACACCAGTATCAAACATTCACTCGGACGGCTGCTTTTGTTAAAGGCTATCAATTACCATTTCTCTGATGGTTTTATCCATAGCCTTGTTAAACCAAATCACCAGAATTTAAGACAATATTACTACATCAGTGTAACTGAAGCTCCTAAAATCTAGCAACGAATAATGGACCAAAATTAAGCATTTTTAAGTCCCAGTTATTGCAATGAGAAAGATCTAAGCATATGTTTAACTCTCCCATGGATATAAATGGGATTTAAAAATGCTTAACTTTACTGGATTACACCTACTGACTTTTGAAAGGCTTTCCAAGAAAAGGCAAATTAAGCCTGCTGCAGAAACTATCATGTTATATATTTTGTGTCTCTAATTGTTGGTGAGTACTAACACATCATAAATGCCTTTACTAAAGTTCTGTTCAGATTCAGTGAAGCTAAGGTGATGTTCTGAAACAGGTAAGTGTGAAACTTGGCACAGATAGGATGCTCTGAAATAAGTAGGATTCCAATATGAGGGTGGGTGAGAAAAGTAATTATTTTAAATTTAAAATAAAAGGCACCTGGCTACTTTAGTCACTGTGCTAAATAGCCTTGTCTTACTGTCTATTTTTAGTTGTTATGATTGTTGACCAAATCATGCACCTCTTCAAATTATTTCAGGATGTCAGTATTGGAGCCACAGCAATCAGGACAATATGAATGAGCCAAGATGTATCTCAACTGAAGAGAGACGGAGCCCACTGGAAATCATGGAATGGCAAAGATGGAAGCAGAGACAGTCGAGAGACAGATTCCAAAACACAGGAAACTGTGAACTACAGTGGTACCTCAGGTTACATACGCTTCAGGTTACAGACTCCACTAACCCAGAAAGATTGCTTTGGGTTAAGAAGTTTGCTTCAGGATGAGAACAGAAATTGTGCTCCGGCAGCAGCGGGAGGCCCCATTAGCTAAAGTGGTGCTTCAGGTTAAGAACAGTTTCAGGTTAAGAACAGACCTCCGGAACGAATTAAGTACTTAACCCGAGGTACCACTGTATTTGTCCATCTGCTAACCCAGTACTGTCCACTCTGATTGGTAGCAGCTCTCCAGGGTCTGATACCAGTACGGTGGTACCTCGGTTTAAGAACAGTCCCGTTTACGAACTATTCGTTATAAGAACTCCGCAAAACCGGAAGTAGTGTTCCGGTTAGCGAACTTTACCTCGGTCTATGAACGGAAGCCGAACGGTGGAAGGGCACCGGTGGCAGAAGGCCTCATTAGGGAAAGCGCACCTTGGCTTAAGAATGGCTTTGGTTTAAGAACGGACTTCTGGAACGGATTAAGTTCGTAAATGGAGGTACCACTGTATTGATCTTGGGGTATTTTGTATGCATGAATGTGATTTGCCACTGAGCAATGAAATCATGAGTCAGGCTATTTGTCCACCTAGCTCAGCACTGACTGCACCTGCCTCTTTCAACCTTGGGTTCCCAGATATTGTCAGACTACAGTTCCCATCATTCCCAGCATGGCCAGTGGTCAGATGATGGGAGTTGCATTTCAAGAACATCTGGGAATCCAAAGTTAAGAATGGCTGGTCTTTACAGTCTGGCAATGGCTCTCCCGGTGTGCAGACTGGGGTCTCTTCCAAGATGGTGGCGACTGAACCTTCTGCATGCAAAGCATATGGTCTAGCACTGAGCTACAATCCTTCCCCTTAATAAGGTTAGTCAGGTGCTATGGAGAACAGGAGCTGAGGTCTTAAGGCACAGAGTTTATCCACAGCAAGCAATACAAAAGAGAACCAGACCTAGAATCAGGAGGTGTAGAGTTAGGTAATCCATCCAAGGGAGGGCTAGAGAACCGGGAAGTAGAAAACACAGGTTGAACAGAGAAGGAATTTGCGGACAATGGCTGGGGACAACACCATACCTTTAAAGCACATCTCCTCTCTCCACAAAGGATCCTGGGACCTGTAGTTTTTTAGGGATGTTGGGAACTGTAGCTCTGTGAAGGATAAGCTACCATTTCTGGGATTACTTTGTTTTTAAATAGGAGGATGGATATGCAGCAAACATCTGGAAATATTTATGATCGGGTCAGGAGGAATCAATGAGGCCAGCAGGACAGGGCTGGACCATAGTAGGGTCAGTAAAAGTAGACATTGCCATATTTTTTCCTTACTGTGCATTCTTCAGTTATTCATCACACGGCCATCATGCAGAGTCTCCCACAGAATTCATTATCCTGACGATACCTTGCTCTGGGATTATTTATATGTGGTTTTTCTGAAGACAAGATTGGAAAACAGTTCGAGCCAGTTTCTGAGCTGCCGCACCTAGAGAAAACACAGTAGTTAATAACCAAATAAAAAAAACAACAGACAACTGAAACATTAAAACTACAAATGACAGAGCCTGTGTAGTGTAGACTAGGACCTGGGATATCAGAGTTCAAGTCCCCACTCAGTGTTGAAGCTCACTAACAGACCTTAGGCCAGCCATAGTCTCTCCTAATCCACCTCAAAAGAAGGCTGTGAGTATAAAATATGGAGAGGGAGAAGTACGCCACCTTGAGGTCCTTGGATGAAAGGTAGGATGCAAAATGTAAAAATAAGTAAAATTACAGCTTTTTTCCAGTCGGGACTCACCGGAACTTCGTTCCAGCACCTTTCTGGTGGGCACCATTGCCACTGTAAGAGTAAAATTTTTCTCACAATACTGAGTAAAATGAATTAAATTGAATAAAAATTAACATCTTCCCTTCAGATAAAGGGAAAAGTTCCCTTTGTCATTTGCCTCTTAATTTCAACAAAAATCTGACATTATCCAGTTCACTCATAAATGGTGCCAAACAGTTGCAAATTCTCCCCTAACAGCACGTTTTATCATAGACCAAAGAAATCAGTCCTCGGCGCCCTAACCTGCGGAAATTTTTTTTTGCGAAAAAATCCCTAACCCGCGGCGTCACAATTTCACCAAAAATCTGACGTTATTCAATTCCCTCAAAAATGGTGCCAAACTGTTGCAAATTCTCCCCTGAAAGGTTTGGTGGTGCAAAAAGAACATTTTATCATAGACCAAAAATCAGCCCTCTGTGCCTTAACCTGCGGAAAAACATTTTTTTAAAAAAAATCCCAAACTTTAATGCTTTCCTTCAATATTCCATCACCATTCTGTCCAGTTCAAGTAAGGGAACTACCACAAACCCCAGCTCTTATGGTTTACAACTCTGGGAAACGGGGGTGCCGGAGGGATCTTTGCACTACAGCGCCATATACGCTTAAGATGGCCCTGATTACACACCCTTTAAAATAAAAGGGAGTCAACCTGGAAAAGCCCAATAGGGTTGTCACCAGAATGAAAGCACACGATCCACAGGTGTGCATCTTGTAGCTCTGTAGAGGAAAAGGCAGCTCGATAAAATTAAAAGATGCTTACACCTCCTGCTTCTTGGAAGAAAATACTGCATTCAGCTTGGGAAATGCCTCAAAATTTCCCCTCATTTAGGTTTTGTGTCACATTGTAATGTATTCCGTTATGGTTTTTCATTAATGTTTGTATACTTTTAATTTCCACTGAATAACTGAACAAGGGGCCCGAACAGAGCCAATTACAGTGGTACCTCAGGTTACAGACGCTTCAGGTTATACACTCCGCTAACCCAGAAATAGTACCTCAGGTTAAGAACTTTGCTTCAAGATGAGAACAGAAATTCTGCAGCGGCAGCAGGAGGCCCCATTAGCTAAAGTGGTACCTCAGGTTAAGAACCCACCTCCAGAACGAATTAAGTTCTTAACCCGAGGTACCACTGTACTATTATTACTATCACTATTAAAAATTATTAAATTTGTACATTACAGTGGTACCTCAGGTTACATACACTTCAGGTTACATATGCTTCAGGTTACAGACTCCGCTAACCCAGAAATAGTACCTCGGGTTAAGAACTTTGCTTCAGGATGAGAACAGAAATCGCGCGGCGGCAGCGGGAGGCCCCATTAGCTAAAGTGGTGCTTCAGGTTAAGAACAGTTTCAGGTTAAGAACGGACCTCCGTAACGAATTAAGTACTTAACCCGAGGTACCACTGTAACAGGCATTATAGAAGGCGGTCGCCCTGACAACCAACACGCCCGCCTCCCGCCCCCCATCTACAGCTGTCAACGTTTCCCTTTTTTTAAGGGAAATTCCCTTATTCGGAATAGGATTCCTCGCAAGAAAAGGGGAAAGTTGACAGCTCTGGCCCCATCGGCATTTAAAACAGGCTTCCTCGGTCACGCATGTGCAAAGGGCCCGTCGCCATCCTCAACCACGTGGGCTCCGGTGCAGACGCTTTTGTCTCGTTCCCTCCCGCCCCTTAGCTCCGCGCTCCTAAGTAAAAAGGCCCGGGCCGAAACTGAGGCGGGGAAGAGGCGTGAGGCAGGCCACGCAAGTGCTCATTGGCTCTCGGCAGCCCTCGTGACACGAAACACCGCAGCCTGATTCGCTGCCTGGGGGGGAAGGGGGGCTCTCGCGCTCCTCTTCTTGCTCGAAAGGCCGGTTCGCTGAGATGCTCCTCACTTGGGAAGGGAGGAAAATAGAAGGCGGCTCATGAGGGGCTGGCGAGGGGCTTCGCGGTAAGGTGTCCGGTAAGTGTGTCTGTTTGCGTTGCCCCCCTCCCCCTCCCCGCTTCAGCGCTCTGTTTTCCTTGGCGACGAAACGGGAGGGAGGGCTCAGGCAGACGACCTCCCCCCTCTTCGAGAGAAGGCGCATGCGCGTGAAGAGCGTCCGGCTCGCGGTCATTCGGAGTGGCGGTTGCGGTCAGTAACGGTCGTCCTCTGACGTCGTCCGCGTTCCATCAGCGCCCCCCCCCCTTGCCCTCTCCACACACAAGATGGCGGGCAGGGGGCCGGTGGGAATAAGTGTGGCCGAACCTCCCTTGACAGAGGCAGTCTACCACGGGGTCCTATGGAGGCAAAGGAGGCTGTGTGCTGGCCGGGCCTTTATTGTGACACCCCCTCCCCAACCCCCACGTCACTGAGGCATCAGGCTGGACCAGTTGGCCTTAACTGGGCAAAGCAGTTCTTACGCAAAATACAAAGGGCAGCACAATTATCTTTTTTACAGGTGTGTAGGAGGGGAATTCCTGCAGGTGCAGCTTCCTTCACCGCTGTGTCAAGCAAGCTGAAGCTTGTCGAAACGCATTATTTGCTGGAGTCCTGTGCGGTCATAACTTGGGGGGTTGAAGCGGCATAATTCCTAAGCTGTGACACCCCCACTCCCCTAAAACAGTAGCCACAACCCACCCACAATGTTATCACCGCCCTTCTGCTAAGGGGTAACCTGTCATGTCTGCTGCTCACCTGAGATCCAGATATAACCAGCTGTTGAAGCAGCAGGTGGAAAAGAGCTGGCACACCCATTGCTGGTGTTTAAGGGGAATTACCTATGTAATCAAGGACTTGATGATCCTCTGAGCAGACTGCCATCCTCCCTGCTGTAATGCAGTATCTCGTACCGAACTCAGTGGGAGTGCAAAATAAATGAGCATGAATTGCTCAGAAAGAGTCACAGGCTTGCGAGAATGCTGCAAGGCCATTGTGTTACCTGCATTGTGTGCTTTTTGTTGCATGTCGCAAGAAGCCGCCAACCCTTCCCCTCTATTGCTCATTTTTGACTATTTTGACTATTAACCCCCTTTTAGAGAAAAAACAAAATAGGAGATACATATCTTAGTGGAGCAAATCCTATTGGTAAAGGAAAGTGCAGGTCTTTAACACAAAACCTTTTGTCAATGAAGCACACAAAACCTCTGCTGTACAGAATGCAAAGTTGCTTGCAAATACATGATTTCTTTTTAAAAAAAGCTCCTTAAATGTATCATACCACTGATCAGAAGTTTGTTATATTGTATATTGCTCAAATAATCCAGAGTCCCAAGATTCTGTTCTGTGTATTTTTATCCACTATGTTTATTAAGCTGTTAAAAAAATATAAAAACAAGGATGAATTCAAAGAGAGAAATGTTCACCCACAAATCACAAGCTGTTGTCTGATTTTTATTTTTGAATGGGTTTTCATTACACCTTACTCTTTATCAACAAGGAATAAGGGGAAGAGTGGAAGAGAGGGACACACAAAAAATACCCAACTTTTTATGTGAAGCCATAAGGCAGGGATGGAAAACCTTTGGCTATCTCATCCAGAGCTGGTCACTGGACATGCAAGCTAGGACTGATGGAAGGTGTAGTTCAGCAACATCTTTAGTTCTGCAATGTCTGTCTTGAATCAAGTCTAGATGCAGACCTTGGCTTAAGGCTTCAGCACTGAGCCAACACCACCTTGCCCCTGCCCTCTGTATTATGTAACATCCAGCCTGATGAAGCATTCTCAATGACTTGGAAGCGGCGCTCGCTATTTTGTGACTTTTTGATTCTCCCTGAAGATATTGCCACAGAGGATTTTGAAGAGGAATATTTGCATGTTTCCATATAGTTTCTCCTTCACATCTACTAAACCAAAACAGTGTTTCTCTACGTGTCTAGACACAACTTAAATTAATGACATTTCCCCTACTAGTGCAACATACTATGTTATTACTGGTGGTAATTCTTACCTGTAAAGCTCTTAATAGCTTGGGCCCTTTTGGCTGCGCCTTCTTCAGTATGACCTTCCTCCTTGCTGTTAATGTAGGGCTGGGGAACCAGGTTGTTGGTTAATAATTCTCTTAATCCCTGACCATGCTGGCTGAGGCTGATGGGAATTGGAGTCTGAACATTTGGAGGGCCAGAGATTCCCAACAACTACAATAAGTTCTGCTTCATCTCACAAGGTTAAACTTCTGAGGTTGTTGAACAAGGCCTCTTGCATCATAGAACCAATGACTTTAAAATTTCCTCCCTGGGAGATGTCCACTTGAGCCTAAATCTTTTATAGGCCTACTTGTCCATTCAGCATTGAAGATTAATGGTGGCAAGTATATATCAGGGATGTCCAACAGGTCAATCGGGATCGACTGGTTGATCCCTGGGAGGTTTTGGTAGATCGCGGTAGATCACTGGCTCCTCCATCCGGCCTTGCCCTCGCGCCCGCCCCCCGTCCTCTAGATTGCTAGAACGGAAGATGGACTGTCTCCTTAGTGATTTATTGGTGAGTCCCTGTGTTCATTTTTTAGACCTGACCCCCCCCAAAAAGGGATGTTCCTCCCTAAAAAAAGCTCACCAGCTTTTACCTGAAGCTCCCCCCCCCCCCGAGGGGTACATCACTGCCAGATTTTAATCATGTGAGTAGATCATGTGAGTGGAGTAGTCTCTTGGAAGTTGGACATCCCTGATATATATAATTTTGAGTGCTTCCTGGGGGGAAATGCAGTGAAGTGGGGGTGGACTTCAAAAGCAACACAGTGAGCAAATTGAGTAGCCTGTCAGGAATTCTAAACACTTCACTATACATGTTGTTGCAGATTCCACTTCTAATCAAGAAATAGTATTGTATTATATTATTAGAATAGAATAAAACATATAATATTACATATTATATTATTAAGTAATGTTATATCAAGTAATGTTAACTTAGAAAGAAAACGTGTTTTAAATTAGCAGAATGTCTGTGAAATATTTGTTTTAATTGCTCTGGAGTAAATTGCAGTATGGGATACACGAATCGTTTACTTAACTGCTTTCTTTTGTCATTTTCCTTACAGGACTCTGCTATGGCGAAAAAGCTTTATGTGACTTTTCTTTTCATATACTTGTTTTCTGAAGCTCGCCACCATGGCTTGGAATCAACCACTATTTCACAAACTACAGAGAACCTTATACCTGAGAAGGCAGTTGGTATCAATGTTGATTTGGCCACGCTTATGCAGAGACATCACCTTCAGGAACTCTTCTCTCGTTATGGGGAGAACAATACATTGACTATAGAAGGATTTAGAAAACTTCTACGGAGTATGGGCATTGAGAAGGTGAAAAGAATTTCCCAAGATCATGAGCACCACCGTCACCACCATAATCATGTTACCCTCAGTACAAATTCTGAGAAAATAGGTTGCCCTAGTGACGAACCTGTCGGTGGAAGCAAAAATCATTTGAATAATTGGGCAAAGGATTTGTCTAGCAAACAGAATACAGAACACCAGCAGGGCTCTGTGAATAGCAAGAGTACAACGGTTGCTATAGCTGCATCCACCTACACCACGACCACAGAAGGCAATCCTTTGATACAGCATTCAGAAACTGCAGAATTGAAGTCTACACGTATAGGCCTTGCCAACCCCAATCCTAGCATTGTTCTAGAAAGCAGCAATGTGAGTTCACTTGTAAATGGAAAAACAAATGAATCGCTTGTTTTCGTGAGGGAATCAGAAAGAGGAAGTTACATGTATTCGAAAATAAGAAAAATTACACAAGAGGTACTTGGAGATTGTTTTTTATTGAAAGGAAAGTTGTGATGTTTGGTAGCGTTGTATTTCTTATTCTTTATGAGCACTTTTTCGACCACCCCCTGCTGCATATTTTCTACATTGCTTTTCCACTTCATAGAATTGCTGTATAAGGGTCAAGAGTTATGAAACTGTTCAAGTCTAAGATTTGACTTGAACCTTGCCAGGGGCATTTGGGTTGGGGCTGCTGAAAACCTTGGGGACAGGGCACTTCTAAGTTAACACTTTTTATTATCTATAGATTTATCTCCCCCTTCAGAACAGCAGAAAATGTTCTTCCCCTCCTGTTTTTAACCTTAAAGCAACCTTGTAAGGTAGCTTAGGTTAAGAGACATTGACATGCCCCAGCTTTGCGGTTGGTGAGTCTATTTGTTCCTAGCGTTTTGCTATGCTACAGTATAAAGGCAAAGGGACCCCTGACCATTAGGTCCAGTTGTGGCCGACTCTGGGGTTGTGGTGCTCATCTCACTTTATTGGCCGAGGGAGCCGGCGTACAGCTTCCGGGTCATGTGGCCAGCATAACTAAGTGGCTTCTGGCGAACCAGAGCAGCGCACAGAAACGCCGTTTACCTTCCTGCTGGAGTGGTACCTATTTATCTACTTGCACTTTGACGTGCTTTCAAGCTGCTAGGTTGGCAGGAGCAGGGACCAAGCAACGGGAGCTCACCCTGTCGCAGGGATTCGAACCACCGACCTTCTGATCGGCAAGTCCTAGGCTCTGTGGTTTAACCCACAGCGCCACCCGCATCCCTATGCTACAGTATAGTAGCTACTTTATTGAGAGATGCTACAGTATAGTGGCTTGCAATAAAGTAGAATACATTTCTAAACATGCATTCTGTTATTTAAATGTATTTGCCATAAGTGCATTTCTGTTAGCGTACCAGCAATCAGGGGTCTCATGGGTGTGCTGCCAGTATGCTAATACCATATTCCAGTGGGCCAGGTCATATCTACTTTTGTGGCATCCGTTTTTTGAAAGAAGGAGTAGGCAAGCTTTCTAATCGTTCAGACAGGATGGAAAAGTAGTGAATCTGATTGTAGCCTTGCAAATAACTAAACACATTTTTCCAGGCCTCAACATTTTATTAGTCCAAAGTTTGTTTTAAAGTAATTTTTGGCATATCTGCCACAAGGGGGAAAAGAACTTATTCTCTTCTACAATACTCTTCTCCACCTGGTTGTATTGAAATAATTTTTATTCACTATCTGGTAGGTAGCTATTTAAAAGCTTAGTTTAACTATATGCTCCTTTTTTCAACCAATGTGGTTACCTTTAGTTGACATTAAATTTCAAGCCATATTTTTAGAATTCCAATGATTTTAATTTTTGTCTTCATCATTAAAAACATTTTTGAATGACTGTCCACTGCTTATAAAAATTCCCTTCATTAATCAAGTTGTCTGGATAAGTTCTTAATTGGAATGCTATCAAATAAACCTATGTTATGAAACCCTTTGGCCTCTCTGTAGCTGGCCTATCAAAATAATTTCTACCTAACTTGTTCCTTTGTTCCCAGTTCTTTTGGTATAGAAATGTCAAACTTACATCTCCTTAGGTTGATAGGGGTGGCATGCGTCTGTGCCATATTGTGCATTATTTAAGAAACCCCACCTGTTTCAAAAGCAGATAGCTGTGTGTTTTGGGTTTTTAAGTGGTGGCATGGGGAAATCAAATCAGAGAATTAGTTGCACATTTCTTTTGAATTTTTGCTTATAAATACATTTGTTACTACCCTATATATATGACAAATTTTGTTCCGTTTTGCCTGTTTGTGATTTTTTGCTTTTTTTGGTATAGCACTTGAATCTTTCCAGTTAAGTTCCCAACGTTTATGTATGCATTTTCCTCAAATGTGTTTGTCTCTTTTATAGTGCTTCAATGCTTCAAAACTGATGCTTTCTCATGGAATAAGTACAAGAGTTCCATTGACAGCCATAGAATTTAGTTATATTTGCCCTGCTATTGTTAACCAGATTGATGGCAGATATTGTGTAATTCATGCAACAAGTGAAAAGACAGAAACTCCTCCAAAAACTTATTCATTGCAAGTAGGTACGTTTGTTGGTGAAGTCAAACATTTCCTATTTAATCTCTTCTTTGATGCTGTACTTAAAGCAAAATATTGAACACTAATTTGTTTTGGATGATTCTGCTATCTTAAAGTCTTCGTGGTTTTGTTTTGAAGGGCAAGAAACCTCAAGCAAGGGACACAATACCTGTTTTTATTTAGGTGAACTAGTGTTCACAATGCAGCATGCAATCTTTTGTGTTACATAGAAATTATTCCTCCCACTGAGTGCTTTACGAAATAAAACTTCCCTCCCTGACATAAGGTGGAAGAAATTGGTTACTCAAGAAAGCAAGCTGTTTTTTCTTCTTCTTTTCAGCTTGGATCGGTGGATTTATATCCATTTCTATCATCAGTTTCCTTTCGTTACTGGGTGTTATACTGGTCCCTCTTATGAATCGTGTATTTTTCAAGTTCCTTCTAAGTTTCCTTGTAGCATTAGCAGTTGGTACCCTAAGTGGAGACGCTCTTTTACATCTTCTTCCGCATGTAAGTATCTTCTTTTTCATTGTATTTACTGGGCATGAATCACTTTGGGACATAGTACTACAGTGGTACCTCTGGTTATGAGCTCCACTAACCTGGAAGTAGCTGCTCTTGGTTGCGAACTTTGCCCCAGGATGTGAACGGAAATTGTGCACCAGAGGCGCGTGCGCACGCAGCGGAAAACCTCATTGGCAAAAGCCTCAGGATAAGAACGGTTTCAGCTTAAGAATGCACCTCCGGAATGAATTAAGTTCGTAACCAGAGGTACCACTGTACTGTAAATATGATCAGGAAATGTCTGTAATTGCACCATAATAATCCTACTTGTGGCACACCTCAGTATAATAAAGTTTTTAATTTAACAACTCAGTTTCCACATCAAACTACTCTGTGGTGTATTTTTCCTTACAGTCTTAGAGCCAAACTAAGCATTACATTAATTTCATGAATGCATGCAATATATGCATTTTCTAAAATGTAAATAACTAGGGATTGAAAGGGAGCAGCACTGGGGGACCTGAGAAAGTAGAAAGGAGGAGTTTAACCACAGCCACCCTACCGTGGTTGTGGTGAAAAGCCATCATTCCCTACCAATGCAAATGAACAGCTTCGGGTGGGAAAGAATAATCATGGGGTCATGGCCGGTGAGGAGAAGGGGAAACTTGCCCATTGTCCCAATACTGTTCAACACTGCCTAATGCTGCCTCTGCTCTAGCTCTGCTATTAAGTACATATGCTATTAGGTTAATTAGAGTAATTAATATGTGCCATGCTGAATCAGACTGAAGGCAAATCTAGTTCAGTATCCTGAACTAGGATGCTTTTGGGAATGCCACAGATAGGATTTGGTAATCCAGTTTGTGCCCAGCTGTAAATGTTTGCTTGCTACTGTAGCAGTTTATAAGATCCAACTATAAATCTGCCAAAACAAATCCTTTTGTGCCATAGCTGTGCTACTGTAGTTGAAATTCCTCCTTGTTTCAAGTGAGTATAAAATCTATAGAACCCAAGGCCATCACTGCAATCTGAAGATCTGGCATTGCTAATATAAGAAGAGACACTGGTAGCACAGTGCTTTGGTATTATACAGATAGAACGCTCAGTGCAGCACAGCAACTAAGCCAGGTTTTCTCTTAACCTGGGGTCGTCGTTAAGAAGCTAAACAACAAGGGAGAGCCAGCATGGTGTAGTGGTTAAGAGCGGTGGACTCATAATCTGGTGAACCGGGTTCGATTCCCCACTCCTCCACATGCAGTTGCTGGGTGACCTTGGGCCACTCACACTTCTCTGAAGCCTCTCAGCCCCACTCACCTCACAGAGTGTTTGTTGTGGGGGAGGAAGGGAAAGGAGATTGTTAGCCGCTTTGAGACTCCTTCAGGTAGTGATAAAGCGGGATATCAAATCCAAACTCCTCTTCTTCTCCTCCTTGGGAGTCTGCATGTTTGCACTAAGCCATGAGTTGGCTTAGTGTTGCATGCAAACACGGCCATAATACCATGAGATGGTATGATATGGGAAACAGGAAGCTTCCTTATACTGAGTCAGACTGTTAGTTCAACTAGCTTGGTACTGTTTACACTGCCTTGCAGTGGCTCTCTGGGGTTTCAGACAAGGCTTCTCTCTCAGCTCTTCCTGGAGATGCCAGGGTTTGCTGCTGCGACCTTCTGCATTCAGAGCACATGTTCTGTCACTGAGCTGTGACCCTTCCTCATACCACTTCAGACTAAGATAAGCTTTTCTATTTTTTAATGCTCATCTTTGTGAACATTCCATGCAAATAAAACTAATAAACGAGCCTAGAACCACTGATGCACAATTATTATTTGCAAGGAGCTGTTTTTACAGGAGGAAGCATTTGAAACTGGTGCTCTTCTTTTAGTCTGAAGTGGTACAGTCCACTCTACCCCTTTGAGATCCAAGCCTTCTGCATGTGTAACCCAAGCTTTAATCAGTGTCACTTTTCATCAAATCAGACATAGGTTCAACTGTTGAAACAGATATGAAAGCTAGGAGCTAAATGCCACCTTAAACCAAGGTTATGGGCTCAACAACAGAATGTCTAGGCGCACTTTTTTATAACAAGAATACAAAGCTGAAAATGAATGAACTGCAGCTAATATCTTACGTTCATTTTTCAAATGGTCTAGTCCTCATCTGAAGACTGCAAAAAACAAAGCCATGCTTCCCCTGCCCATCCCCCATATATTCTTAAGAGGGTCTCTTCTCCAGTCTTCAGAGAATGTCTGAAAGTGGGGAGGCAGAAAAAGGTCCTCTTTTCCTTCCACTGTGCAGTTTTAATCTGAATTTTTAGGCTCAGAAACTGCTCGCAGTAATGAAATTCCCTGTCGCAAAACACGCCTAGAACAATGGGAGTTTCAAACGCTGCCCCAGATACTCCTCCCAGACTTTGAAATAAACTGATGCTGGCAGACTCTTCCACTCCCCACGTCTTGTTGCTGTGTATGGAAAGGTGTCTGAAGTAATTTTCCCCCCTTCTTTCCCCCCAACGTTTAGTCTCATGGAAGTCATCATCATCATCATGAGAAACCATTATTGGAACACAGTAAAGACCCCACTTTTAAGCATCTTGTTTTTCAAAGTGCAGAAGACAGTGCTAACTTGGATTCTACGTGGAAGGGCCTCACAGCCCTTGGTGGATTATATTTTATGTTTCTTGTTGAGCACCTGATCACACTAATTAAACAGTTTAAAGACAAGAAGAAAAAGGTAGAGAAATCATGTATTGAAAAGTGAATTTAAGTTTTTCTGTGTCCAAATCTTAAGGGATGATTTACACAAAGCTTGAACAGTATAAGCTTTCCTTGGTGAGGGAACAGGAAGCACCTAGATGAATTGCAGCACTGTGGAGGGATAGTTTTAAAAAATAAAATTGTGTTGAAAGGGTTTAAAAGTTGATGGGATAAATAGTGAATCAGAATCAGAATTGGTTGAAATGTTTCATTTAGACTTGAAACTTTTAATAGTGAGCAAAATGACTTGGGTTGCTTGTTGTGAATTTTATCACTTATGTGCAGTTTCTTTCCTGTATTTCAACTTCTGATTTTCTTAATCCATTTCATGTTTTTATTGATAATAGTCTACGAGATATATAGTGTTCAAGATGTGTACCTAAAATGTTAATAACTTAGTGTAATTCTTCAGAAAAAAAATGAAGATGATGAAGCAGAAATCAAGAAGCAACTATCTAAATATGACTCTCAGCTTTCAACAAATGAAGAAAAAATAGACACAGATGATAGTAAGTTTTAATAAATGTTGTACAGCATTGTCATTCAAAATGTTATGGGTTCTTCTTTGTGTTTCCATGCAGCCAAATTGGTATCTAAGTGTATTGTGCATTTTTCTACACATATAGCTAAAAGGTGATTATTGTTTCTGGTCTGATGAACCACCCTTTTTTGCTACTTTTGATACAGTGGTACCTCGGGTTACAGACACTTAAGGTTACAGACTCCGCTAACCCAGAAATAGTACCTCGGGTTAAGAACTTTGCTTCAGGATGAGAACAGAAATCGCATGGCAGCAGCGGGAGGCCCCATTAGCTAAAGTGGTACCTCAGGTTAAGAACAGTTTCAGGTTAAGAACGGACCTCCAGAACGAATTAAGTTTTTCACCTGAGTTACCACTGTACTTCAGCATATTCATATAATCTAAGATGCTCTGGAAATGACTACAAAAGTTGACACTAACCTATAGCTTATATGAGCGGTATGAATATGCATTCTTAGAATGTGCCTATCTAGTAGGGTTCAGTATATGGAAGTGATCTTATTATCCAAGAACAATTTCTCATCGATACAAGATGAGGTTTATACTTATCCCATTGCATAGAATCATAATACTTCACTTTATCTGCGTTTCAAAGCAGGAAAGAATAGCAATTCACTTCTGACATGTAGCTGCTGCTTAACGTTTGAACAGTTTGTGGAATTACTTATTTAAGTTATCTATTAAAGCTGTTTCTAACAGCCCAGTTTTCAAATGCTGTTATGCTTGGTTTTCTGCAAGAGAGCACTTTCATACTGCCTTACCAGCATAATTGACCATTTATTTCTTAATTATACGTTCTATTTTTGTGCAATTCTGAAATTTAGGAACCACTTTTTTGTGTGGTTAATAGTGCGGCACTGAGTATTGCATCAGTTGACTCTTTAAATAGGAGCCCAGAATGGGGGGGGCGGGGGCGGAAGCAAATGGGTAAGCACTGGTTTCAAGTTTAAATGCATTTTTCATAGTGATAATTTTCCTAGTATTTGTATAAGACCAAGAACTTATTTTCACTTGTTTAATTATGTTATGAATTCTGCTGTCAATGTAAAATGGGGCTTGCCCAGCATAAGCCTGCAATATTATCTTGTTCAGTACTTCCACTCCAGTAGAGTAAAATACTTCATTGGGCTCCAAATAGGGAAGATAATTTGAAGATGGAAAGTGTCTTGGCTCAGTGTGGTATGGAGAAATTTCTCACCTGGCTCATTTATGGATTCATCCCATAGTAACTGAAATCCATTTCTGTAGTCATAAACAGCACACCTTCTAGTCTTCAGCTCTGTAGAAAAGGCAAGGTGGCAGGTTGTACATTAGGGTTGCACATTTCTTTGAATTTCTTAATACAATCCTATATACGTGAAGTATTGCAACAAGAAAATGTGGCTGGCAGAAGATGCTTATAAAAATGGATCTGAAATTAATGTGTTTCACACACATCTCTTCCAAGACCCATGGCTAGAGAAATATCTAAAACTAGAATGGGTAATATGTGGCACTCCAGATATTTATGGATTCTCATCTCTTATCAGTCCCAACCTACGTGACAAATGACCAGGAGAGAGAAGGCAGGTGACAGATTTCCCATCTCTGACATAAAATATTTTATGAGTAGGATATCAAGTACCGAAAATGTTGCGGTAGGCAAAAGTGTTCTGAATGTTCTGTTGCGTCTTTTTGTTTTGAGAATGTAATCTGCTTTTCCTGTGTTTCACAAAGGGCCAGAAGCTTACTTGGGGGCACATTCACAAGAGCCTTCGAACTTCATCTCCCAGAAGCCAGTAGTACAAGAAGAAGAAGAAGTTATGATAGCTCACCATGAGCCTGCTGACCATGAATATGCATCCAGGGGGTGCAGAAATAAATGCCATTCACATTTACATGACACCCTAGGACAGTCGGATCATCTCAGTCATCATCACCATGATTACCATCATATTTTGCATCACCATCATCATCAGAACCATCACCCGCATAGCCATAGCCAGCGCTACTCACGTGAAGAACTGAAAGATGCTGGTATAGCTACTCTAGCCTGGATGGTAATTATGGGTGATGGACTACATAACTTCAGTGATGGCCTCGCAATTGGTTAGTGTATCTTGATGTTTTTTATTGATTAGTCCCATACATTTTGGTGGCCAATCCAATTCTTTTCTGTGCTGTTACCTCTTCATTTCTGGTATTAGTATAAAAGCAGAAAGGCAGAAGCCTTGTTGTCTGCTGTTGCAGAAGGCAGGGCTTCTTTTAATGGGTTTGAAAGGAGGGTAGATAATGGTGGGACATTAGGAGAAACTTCTTAACAGGAAGAGCAGTTTGATAATGGGGATCAGTTACCTAGAGGTGTTGTGAACTCTCCAGTACTAGAGGTCTTAGGCCAGGCTTCCTCAACCTCGGCACTCTAGATGTTTTGAGACTACAATTCCCACCATCCCTGACTACTGGTCCTGCTGGCTAGGGATCATGGGAGTTGTAGTCCCAAAACATCTGGAGGGCTGAGGTTGAGCCTGTCTTAGGCAGTGACATTGGACCCTAGGAGGTTGGACCAGATGGCTTAGAAGGCTCTTCTCATCTATGATGGTCTTGACTAGTCTCCTCAAAATCCTGTCGTGTGTGAAGCTCACAGTACATTTTCTACCCAGTGGTGGATATACTGCAGATCCAAAGTGTGTTAATGTTTATAGTGAACTTCTTTAATCGAACGACGTTAAAAGTACATACCACTTTCTGATGATAGATTCTAAAACAGCCATAGCTGAAAACTTTTTCAGTTTGAGGGCTGCATGCCAACAGTGGAAGGAGCCAGGGGAAAAGTGAGTAGAGCAACAGATGCTACTCTTAACTTAGTACCAGTGTTCGAAACTCCCATTGTTCTAGGTGCTTTTTGCGACAGGGAATTTCATTAGTTCAAGCAGTTTCTGAGCTCTGGGCACAGTACTGTGCCTAAGATTTCAGATTAAAACTGCACAGTGGCAGGAAAGGAGGATCTTTTTTGCCTTCCCACATCCAACAACTCTGAAGACTGGATAAGAGTCTTAAGAATATTAGGCAGGTGGGCAGGGGAAGTAACTAGACCATGTGAAAAATGAATATAGGATTTTAGCTGCAGTTCATTCATTTTCAGCTTTGTATTCTTGTTATAAAAAAGTGTGCCTAGACATTCCGTTGTTGCACCCATAACCTAGGTTTAAGGTGCCATTTAGCTCCTAGCTTTCATATCTCTGCTTCTAACACGGCTTTGTACAGTGGGCTACATTCCTGCTACGTGAAAGGTACAGGCTTATACATACACATCTACATCCAGGCAAGCAAGCAGCCTTATCACAGTTTAAGGATGCATTCCAGCCAGGCAAAAGCACTCAAGGGGACATGGCCTGAGGCAAGTCCAAAGGTAAGATGGAGATGCTTAGAGGGAGCATGGGAGGAAAAATCACCGCTGATTTACTCCTCTCTCAGTTCTGCTGTTGCTATGCTACCCAGAGTTAAGTCATGGTTTGGCTTAGCAGTAGCGCAAACTAGGTCATCATATATTTATATGTGGATGTAACTGCATTCTTCAAGCGAGATTGCTTCTCTTTAATTTCCTTTGTCTTCTCCCAGGGGCTGCTTTTACTGAAGGTTTATCTAGTGGCTTAAGCACTTCGGTTGCAGTCTTTTGTCATGAGTTACCACATGAACTGGGTAAGAGGGAACCAATTTTGGTTACTGGTAGGGTATTGTTTCTATACATTTACATTTGGTTGATTTGATTGATCACTGTCACAGTTACATTGAGGTATTTCATAGTATGTGTGAATAACAGTAATATCCCATCCTCTTGGGCTCCTGTAGAATAGACTGCTCAAGGGAAAGTGCGCTTTTTAAAAAGCACAACAATCAACTGAAACGGGGCTATCTAATATTGCTTCGTTTCAAGCAAATGAATGCTATCTTGCTTCCAGACCAACAAAGGAAACAAAATGGTTTGAATGATGCAAATGCTTACTTTACACACCGTTGGCAGTGCACTTAATATGGCAATATGCATTGCTGAATGGGAGGTTTTCGACAATATATTGTCAATTTAATGCAAATTAGCTCAGCTTTTCTTGATGTTGTTTAACCAATTACATTAAGTTGTATTGAAGCATAGTGAAATGATACGAGTTTTCCACTGATTGAAAACACAGTAAATTCTAACTATAAAGAGCCATTGTGAGGACGCTTGAATAGTACTATTTCAGTTTAATGTAAACTTTATGAGCATGTCCCAATCTATTTCCAGTAGAGTGGTGGAAAAAACAAATACATTTCAAGTGTGTATACATATGCAGGATATTCATTGTGGCTGCTAAGCTTGCTTGGCTCTCTTGTCCTCCAAAAGTTTTGACCACATTAAAAAACAAAAGCAAAAGCAAATGAGATTTTAAGGCATAAAAATATTTCTTGGGAATCAGGGGAAATGAAGCAGCTGATAAATGACCAAAAATGTTTTGTGTCTCTTGGCAGGAGATTTTGCTGTACTTCTCAAAGCTGGCATGACTGTCAAACAAGCTGTTCTTTATAACGCGCTTTCAGCTATGCTGGCCTATCTTGGAATGGCTACTGGGATACTCATTGGCCACTATGCAGACAATGTATCTATGTGGATCTTTGCACTTACGGCTGGGCTGTTTATGTATGTGGCCCTTGTTGATATGGTAAGTACTGTATATAAGTATCATTGGATATTGATAGCACTCTGGTACGAAATAGTTGCAGCAACAGAACTTTAATCAAAGATGATGCCAGCGTCTGAATTGCTGGATATGAGAGCCTTTCCTCATCAGGCAAAGGGTACATTTAGTTCAGCATCCTAGCAATGGTTACTTAAATTCAGCCAAGGAGAGCTACAAGTACGACATGAAGGAACATAGTCTGCTTGCTTCTATAGCTGACATAGCAGTCTTCTCTCATTGTCCCTAATAGCAAGCTTAAAACAGGTCCACTGAGAAACAAGAGGAAAACTATCAGCATGCTTGGGGAACCCCACGCTTTGCAGAAATACAGCAGCTCCCCCATTCAAACAGCCCGGTGAGGACTCTGCATGCTCAATGGACACCAGGAGCCATGGCATGTTGAAGGATAGGGTGGATTGGGGTAAAATGGCTTGTTTGAGCTTCATAAGATAGCATGGTTGTCTGGCTGGAACCCTGCACAAGAGCACTTAGGTTAGAAATTGGGGATATACTGCAGTATTTTATAGCTGCTCTCATCTTCACAGAAGGGGAATTATTACCAACTTGAACAACTTAATGCCTCAGCATCAACATGTTCTTTCTATGGTATTCAGATTAATTTTGTTTATGTCTTTCTCTCCTTTTTAAATTCAGGTGCCTGAAATGCTCCACAATGACGCTAGTGATCATGGATGTAGTCGCTGGGGCTATTTCCTGTTACAGAATGCTGGGATTTTGTTAGGTTTTGGTATTATGCTACTTATCTCTGTGTTTGAACATAAAATTGTGTTCAGCATAAACTTGTAATTTTTATTTCTTTTTTTTTTTTTTTTACATTCCTGATACTGACATGGTACTGAAAACTAACTGTGGGCACTTTTTACCTCTTAATTGCCTCCTGATTAGGCCTTTTTAGTAGTGTTAACTGCTTGCATACATGGCAAGAATATAGTATGTAAAAAAGGTTAAAAAAAAAAGGTACCTTTACCAATATAGTATGTAGCACTATGGGGAAACTGGCATATTAAATAGCACACTTTGCCTAACATAGTCAAAGCTAAAACTGTAAGGGAAGTGTTTTTTTATTATTTTGAAAAGTTATTTAATATTGTAAGGATACTTAATAGCATGCAATGTGAGGTTTTGTCTTAGTCTTGTATATGTTAACAAAGTGATCCCAACATGAAGTTGTACTGCTTTTGATGTAATAGGATATAGAAAAACCGGAAGCTGTCATTTTCATTCCTGCTATTGCAGGGGGAACAAGCGCTCAGAGCATTCATGACCAGTTATGCTACTGTAAACAAGTTTTCTAATGAAGAGATTAAATATTTGGCTTACCATTAAAATTACATGCTCACTTGTGTTTATGTTCACAAAATTATTAACACTACAGTAAAAAGTTGTGAAATGTCCCACTTCAAGGCCTCAAATCTACATCGAGTCAAGGTTCTACATCAAACAAATGCATGTAGTTTTAAAAATTGGAATGTGACAATATTTTCAAAAAGAGCTATGCTGTGTATTTAAGTGAAAGTGTTGACAGAAATCTAAAACCAGCGGGGGACAAAACAATTACCAGAGGTGCCTCGCAATATTGGGAAGGTTATAAGGAATGAACTGCACAGACAAAAGAGCACAAGTACGGGGAGACTGTAGAATTCTGCTCTGAACTGTATTGCGTGCACACTTAACAGTTCTAAGTTTAGTAGTGCATGGGGCAGAGTGAATAGTTGAATCGGAATTGTTTTTTCACACCATGCGTATGCTTAAAATAGAAACTAGTGTTGGAAAGAACATCTTTCACTTCCTAGAGAACTGGATTCTTAAGAGCTTGGTGGTATGAAAAGCATGTGTGCAACAGGAGTGTCACAGACCTAAATCAGCTGCTAAGACGCATGTCATAGTTTGGATAGAGTAGCAGTTCTCCTAATTCTATAATACTAGCTTTTGCTATATATTTTACCAGGATAGCTTACCTTTATGTGCGCTTCAGACAAGAAGCTCCTTAAAATGTATTTTGTTGCTGGCCCAACCTTGCTCATAAAGTTCCATATGATCTGGGTTGATAGATCATATCAACTTAGGTTGATAGCTCAGTCAGTAGAGCATGAGACTCATGATTGAGTTCGAGCCTCACATTGGGCAAAAGATTGCTGCACTGAAGGGGGTTGGACTAAATTACCCTTGTGGTTCCTTCCAACTCTATGATTAAATTAATTTAAATCTACTTTTTTGCTGATCGTCTCAGTTTTTAGAGAATTCTAGAGTAGGACTTGATGATCTTTTCCAACTCTTTGCTCAGTGCAGGATGCAGTTGAGGTATCCCTGGCATGTTCAACCTGTGCTTAAACACCTGGCAAAACAGAGCTCAACACCTCCTGAGGCTGCCTATTCCATTGTTAAATGGCTCTTATGGACATGTTTCTCCTAAAGATAAGGCGAAAACTGCTTCTCACCAGTTTCCCGGCATTGGTTTCAGACCCGGAGCAACAGTTTCAGAAGATGTAGATTTCATTGGTATTATAGAACAGACCTGTTACTTCTGCAGAGCATTGTTACTTTCAGGCTTTCTCTGCACGCAGAGCAATTAGACTGATAAAACAGGGAAGGTGCCAAGGGCATATTCAATATAGATGCTGTTATGGTCTTCAGTCTCGTAAAAAAAGTTACAGCTATTGAGCACTAGTCTCAAATATCAATATTTTAGCACTTTCTCTTGTAAAAATTAGTTCACAGTCCTTTATCCATCTCAAAAAAGCCTTTGCTGCACAAAACACTTTGATTTTATGTGTGTATGTAAGGCTGATAAAAATATTTTTGAGATGATATTTGTGGATTTAGATACAGGATTTCTTTGTTCAAGTCCAGTACAATCCTTTCTACTGAACTGGATACCATCTAAAATTAAACGGAGCATTTATTTGAAGAAATAAGCACAATAATAGCTTTTGCAATAGTTTTTATAAGGTAAATGATAGTTTTGGTCTAGAAAAGGGTAGTGTCTCCTATGTCTTGGGCTATAATCTCTTTCCTGGCTAGGGCTCCTGTGTGTTTAAACAGGTGAGCACTCCCACCCCACTATGATTGATGTTTTGTCAAATCGTTTTCAAAATAATGAAATTGGTGTATATCTATAGAACTAGTAGCCTGCCTTCATTCAACTAACAGCTGCTATTTAAATCCACCTCTACCATACTGGCTAGCAATTTGTACATGTAGTACTGCTTGCTTCAGTCAAGTTTTGGGTACTAACTCTTCTTGTGTGGTGGCAGGAAGAGTAAAAAGAAAAGTTGCACAGTACTTCCTATCTGAATATAGCACATCCAACATTGGGAACATCCTAAAGAAGGGGTATGATGATGGATTTGAGGAAGGGAATTTTTCCTAACTGGCAGACTCCTTTTACATAAGAATCTCCTTCCTGTCTCTTTTTATTTTTTAAAAAAAAGTCTGATGGGATGTTCATTCTGTCTGGTAACATCCTGAGTTCTGCTATCAAAGTTACACAACCTTTCAGACCAGCTCCTGGGCAGGGAGAGAAACCTAAGAGGATATTTTAATTTAATTTCCTAAAGCAAAAAGGGGACACAGAACTTTGAGAACCTTGCGAAACAGCTGATTACACAAGAATGTAGCTCAACTATGTCGTACGCATGGAGATTTTAGGACAGAATTCCAGGGAAATGCCTTTTAAAGCCAAATGTCAAAGTAGAAATAATTTTATTGGGGAGGGGGAAGTCATTGAACTTGGGTAGTAACATGTTGCCTGCTTGAGAAAAGATGGGTTTCAGAGTTTCTTGCAGAAGAGCTCTGCTGAGATACTACATCTTTGCAAGGTTTTTAGAAAAGAAAATACATAACTGCCTAGTGTTGTGTGATTATAATTCACTCAGTGTGCATACCACTAAAATACACAAGCATTTTCCGTATGCATGCCTACATATTTTATTGCTTAAAGTCACATTTTCTCACGTCTAGAAGCCTATCCTCAGAACTGGAAATTTGACAGCACTGATTCAGAAGAGAAATAAGCTTCACACAAGAGGCATCATTAACTCCAATTTGTCATACTTTCAGGAACAAATGCTTCATGTAGATTCACCCCAATGAGGTAAGTCATAAGTTAATAAATAAGAATGCCATGCTGAATGCTTCTGGCATCACCACCCTGCTTTGTCAGGAAAGGGCTCCCATGTACTTTCTTAATATTGGAAGCTGGTGAATATTTTACTTACTGAGGCTGAATGTTAAGTAATTAGTCTGAGCTCTTAATTCCATGATAGATTTTTTCAAAAAAAAATAGTTGCTGAAACTACTTAGCTGCTCTTTATTTTTAAGCATGAAGTCCGATTCTAGAGTCACGGAACATCTGTGTTCAGAGATTTGCAACTTGCCCATGAATCAGGAAAGTGTGTAGAGAAGCCTCCCACTAGTTGCTGCTGTTCATAAATTTTTTTGGAACTGCAATTCCCATAATCGCTGAAAAGTCCATGGGACAACTGATGGGACTTGTAGTCAGAATATCTGGAGGACACCAGCTTGGGGAAGGATACAGGATATCCTTGCACATTCTTAGCAGGGGCACTTCAGTGAGAAACCCAGACTAATAGCTACTTCTGTGCACATTGGCTGAGAAGTGAACTTCACTGACTTTTAATGCGGACGATACCACGCAGCAGACTTAAAAATTAAAGGAAAACGTCATCTTGGTCATGGCATTGTAGAGTTGGAAGTGATATCGAGTGTCATCTAGTTCAACCCCTGCAATACAAGAAACTCCAATAAAGCATACGTGATAGGTGGCCATCCAACCTCTGATTGTGATAATACTTTGTGGAAAGTTACTAGAATGTGGGAAATTTTATGGTTAAACCCCTTGACAGTTCAAGCTTCAAGGCCCCCAAATGTAGGTCCCTTCACAACCAGCAATGAGGCCCAGTTGCCTTCTTCAGTGGGGTTATGTTCCAGAAAAGATCACCATGCCTTTGCAACATCTGTGCTACTGACTCAAGCGTTGGGATTGTTGAAATATATACAACATAGATCAAATTGATTTGTGCGACTCAAATTGAGTCTACTAGACCCAAAACGTTTAAGCAATGTGGACTAAAGTCGCCGGGGTGGGGGGTCCCCCGCTGCGATTAGAGGCCCTGAAACTTAAGCTTCATTCATTAGTTTTATAGTGGATCTGCCACTGGTTTAAACACTTGACAGAACGGAGGCAACTCGACAACCCTCTGCCTCTTCGTTGGTTAGGTTGATCGATGGGATGTGGCCAGGGAGTGATGAAAGATACTGTAATAATAATAATAATAATTTATTTATACCCTGCCCATCTGGCTGGGCTTCCCCAGCCACTTTGGGCGACTTCCAAAAAAATATTAAAATACCGTAATACATCAAACATTTAAAGCTTCCCTAAACAGGGCTGCCTTCAGATGTCTTCTAAAAGTCTGTTAGTTGTTGTTCTCTTTTGACATCTGGTGGGAGGGCGTTCCACAGGGAGTGATGGAAGACAGAGATGTGAATTTTAAATATTTAACTAAAAGTCAAGCGGCCAGTGAACCCAGCCAGTGTTTGCTGTGATTTTGGGCAGCAACCGCAATCCTCCCGCAGAGGACGCAGCAAAGTTTTTGCTCACAAGCCTCGATTCTTATTTCGTGATTTTTTTTGAGTTTTCGAGCACTTAAAAAATGCAGCGCGCCTGTATGCCAGCCAGTCAACGGAGAGCAATGCAGTTCTGGACGCAACTGAATTCTGAACCTGGGAGGGATCAGAGCTAGGAGTTTCTTTGCTGCATTTCCAAGTCAGAAACGCAAATCAACCTCAGTGCCCTCACCTGTCAACCTGCAATACGGATAACGGACTGCACTGCAAGGCTGTTGGTAAGCTATTTATTTCTCGGCCACAATTCAGAACGGTCTGCATTTGGCGTTAAAAATGTAGCATTGCCGGAGGTTTATTATTTCCCCTCCCACGATCATTTCTCGCGAAATATAGCGCTAGGAAAAGTGTGCACCAGCTTGGGTCTGGCCATGGGGAAATCTGGCAGATGCGAACCCGGAAGCTCCTCATGGATGCACTGATCTATACTTTTTTCCAATCTCTGCCGGGGGATGCTCGGGCGCGAGGCGGTTCCGGGTTGCCGCCCTTGGCTCCGCCCCCTCCGCTCCCGCCTCGGCGCGCGATGTCCGCGCGGTCCTAAAGGTGAACGTCTCTGCAGATTCGTTTCCCTTGCGCTCTTGCCAATGGCGGCTGCGGCTGCGGCGCCCGGCGTGACGGAGCGCTACTTCACCCGCTGGTACAAACCCGGTAAAGTTGCAACAGCAGAAGCGCCGCGGAAGCTCTGTCTCGGGGCGGTGGCTCCCCGAGCGGCCTTTTCTCCGGGCTACTGGTTGGAGATGGTGGGATTTTTATTTGAAATTTATGAAACCCCTCTTGATTGCAAAAAAAACAAAACAAAACAAAACACCAAACAAAGCTCAGAGCGGTTTGCAAAAAGATAAAATATGGATCCGGCGCGAAGGAGGGTTTGCAACAGAGATGGGGGTTGGGGGTCGAATTTGCAGACATTATAAAGGGTCTGGTGGGGGTTTATTTAAAATTTATGAAACCCCGCTTGATTGGGGGGGAAAGCCCCTCCAAAGCAAAAAGACGAAACAATAAAATCGAGAAAAAATGGTAAGCCCTGCTTTAAAGCATGGAAAAGTTAAAATACAAAAATAGATCAAAACTGCCTTGATTGAAGCATCTTGGGTAAAAGGTAAAGGGTCCCCTGACCATTAGGTCCAGTCATGGCTGACTCTCGGGTTGCGGCGCTCATCTCGCTTTATTGGCCGAGGGAGCTGGCGTACAGCTTCCGGGTCATGTGGCCAGCATGACTAAGCCGCTTCTGGCGAACCAGAGCAGCGCACGGAAATGCCGTTTTCCTTCCCGCAGGAGCAGTACCTATTTATCTACTTGCACTTTGACGTGCTTTTGAACTGCTAGGTGGGCAGGAGCAGGGACTGAGCAATGGAAGCTCACCCCGCCGCGGGGATTCGAACCGCCGACCTTCTGATCGGCAAGCCCTAGGCGCTGTGGTTTAACCCACAGCTCCACCCACGTCCTTTAGCATCTGGATAGGATTGCCTTAAAGGGGGGTGTTTTTAAGCAGGCAGCAAAAAGGCTATGCAGCAAAGATGCCTGGCTCCATCTCAACAGGCAGGGAGTTCCAAAGTTCAGGCACTGCCACACCATATGATAGAGTTCCACTCCCAACATCTGGAGGACTGAAAGTCCCCCATCCCTGCTTTACAGGATGCATAGACACATATGCACACTAGTCCAGTAGTAACTGACTCACTCTCTGGTTTTCTAAGTCATTTTGGGTTGCCTCGGGCAAGAGAAAGTGGCTAACAAATTTAGTGAATAGGAATAGTAATTTATGTAATTGGAACTGCAGCAGCACATAGCCTTGGGCTGGCCTCATCCAGACCCACCTCTTCCAAGGCCAATCCCTTTTACTCTGAAATGAAGACTTACATTGTGATCCCATGATTCCCATTATGTTACTGATCCCAGGGCAGGTTGCAGCATTAAAAACTATATAAGACGCCTAATGCCCATTCCGTGTTTGCAAGAACTTTAGTGTGGCAGTGACTACACTTTGGAACTCCCTGCTTATTGAACTGAAGAACTTTTTGGCACCTAAGAGCATTCCTTTTTGGGACTACCCAGATGCTTACGAGGTTGCAGTAATTTTAATGTTTTAGTGTTTTAGCTTTTCTATGTTTTAAAGTTCGGTTGTGAATTTTTCTTGATTTTACTGTTTTACCGTTGGTAAATCGCTTTGAAGTTGTTGTTTTTTTTAACAATCATTTTCTAATAAATTATACGTTTTATAAAATTAAAAGCAAAAGGTTTGCAACTGCATTTCTTGCAATTAATCCCCTCTCAAGCCTTTCCACACTTCCTTGTTGTTGTTGTTGTTGTTGCCTCCCCTGCTATAAGAAACAAAAACGGTCAGCTTCTTGGGCCAAGAAGTGTGTTTACATAATTTCAACAAATTTCACCCAACCTCATCTCTGCATGTTTTTTTTTTGTTTTGTTTTGTCTGGAAAGTTACGGTACTTATTTGATGGTTAATTCCCTCCTCCACAGATGTCAAAGGTAATCCATGTGAGGACCATTGCATATTGCAGCATTCTAACAGGTAAGCCTTTTTGCAGCCCATTTATTTACATGTTAACTTGGAACTGCTTTTGTGTTCAGTGGGGGGGGGGGGGTCACTCCAAGTAAGTGAGCACATAATTTGCTCAATAGCTCTTGCTTATTAAGAGATTCTTGCCTCAACATTGAGGCAGTTGAGATTAGCTGCAGTCAGGCGCACATCTAAGGGATGGTGCAACTGATCTACGTTGTATTGTTTTAAATAAGATGTGCATTAACTTACTTATTCGCAGCCAGCGCTGGATTGAGGCCTTTTAGGGCAAAAACTTGCTCTCATGAACAAAAGTGATAGGTTTACTACACATAAGAATTTTTGCAGCTTAATTTAGCTGGATACACCCTGTAACTTTAAAATGTTTTCCTACCTAATTTTTGTACTGGTTATTTTTTTGTACTTTTGGAAAACTGTTTTGAGAAGGCTTCTGGCTTCGTCAAAGTAACTCATCCATAATAAAGCGGGGCTTCCCAAAGTAACATAATTTACTGTATTCAGCAATTTCCCTAGCAGCTGGCTCTAGAGAAGTCCAAGCAGTTCATTGTTCTAACCTCTTTTCTTGTAGAATCTGTGTTGTCACTCTTGCAGAGGCTCATCCCCTTCTTCAAAAAGGAAAATCCATTGAGAGGATTAGTTACCAGATCAGTGCCAACTGCAGCAGGCTGCAAAATAAAGTTTCTGGGAAGTCTAAACGGGTATGTCTCATTCCATTTTTTAACTTGGCTTTAGTGTGATTGTCTAGTAATAATTCTTTTTTAAAAAAACACCAATTCTGCTGGACTTAGAGGAGGAACAGTTTTTAAAATATTGTTATCTGTAAGGGGCCTATTGGTATTTACAGAGGGGTTAACATGATATAGACTAAAATAGTATGTGCCTATTGTTGGCAAATGTATTTATGAAGCTATTTTGTGTGAAAGAAGCCCATCTTCCCCCTTTTCCTAGTGACCTGCGCTGCTTGCTTCCTCTTGTGACTTAGGGGAGATTAGATTGCATTAAGAAGAGGGTCTCTGCCTGGCAGTATGATCCATCATACTTGAATTCCCTCCCATATTCTTGCTAGGAGAACAAGAGGGAGACCAGGCTGCCAGTTACTAAATGCCAGTTCAGGTTTACTGAAACAGTCAGGGCCTAGAGCCTAGAGCCAACTTTTTCAGCAGGGGGCCGGTCCACTGTCCCTCAGACCTTGTGGGGGCTGGACTATATTTTGGGGAAAAAGGAAAATGAACCAATTCCTATGCCCCACAAATAACCCAGAGATACATTTTAAATCAAAGGACACATTCTACTCATGTAAAAACACCAGGCAGGCCCCACAAATAACCCAGAGATTCATTTTAAATCAAAGGACACATTCTACTCATGTAAAAATACGCTGATTCCTGGACCGTCCATGGGCCGGATTTAGAAGGCGATTGAGCCGGATCGCGCCCCCGGGTCTTAATTTGCCTACCCATGCTCTAAACCTCCCTATCTTCTCACAAAACCCTCTCCAAACCACATCCTCCACCCGTCCTGCTCTGTTTCAACTTTACTTGTTTTGGCCTGGCTAGACTTTGTCCTTGAAATGTGATGATGTCTTCTGCTTATCTTGAGAGGGGTGTGTGTGAAAATCTCTGAATCTCTGGAGCCAGAATGCAGCATACTGTACAAGGAATGAGACACATCCATTGCTGTTTTGTCTACTGTCTCCGCGAACCACAAGTTGCTTGCAGAGACCACAGAAGAGCCGCGCACCCCCCCCCCCCCCATTTCTAATCCTGGTGTCAATTGACTTGGCCACCACTGTAAGCATTTCTCTGAAGGAGAAGGGTGTCCTCAGCAAAAATCATGTTATCATTCCTCCCCATCCCCAAGGCTTAATGTCAGGTTACAATAGATGTAAGTTTATACTGGCAACCTAATGGGTTTCATAAAGGACCCTGGATCTGAACATGGGTTTCCTGGCATTCAGAATCTAATGCCTATCAGTTTTGTCCACATTAAGGAAGGAAACGGCATCTTGCTTAATTTAGAAGTTTTTTGTTCAGAACAATAAAACAAGGTCCCTGGACTTTAACTGCTGGCAATGAAAGCTGCCAGGCTCTTGGAGAGTTTCCTTTTCTCACAGTCTTAATTTGTATAACCTCTGTTTCTCCCCAGGGTGCTCAGTTCCTAACAGAACTTTCCCCTTTGTGCCGGGTTTTCTGCTCAGATGGAGAAGAGTATACCATATATAGGTAAGCAGGAGAGTTTTGTTTACCTTGCGTTGCCTCTACCATTCGAGAGTTTACTAAACTGGAAATTCTTTGCAGCTGTATAAGAGGGAGATTGATAGAGGTGAATGAAAACATTCTGGACAGTCCACCTCTGCTGCAAGCCAAGGTCAGAATTTTAAGCTAGCTCTTAGCCCTTCTCTTCCTTCTGCATTCTCTCTCTTACTTTTTGTCTCACTTCTCATGTTTTCCCCTCTAGCCTTCCACAGATGGGTACATAGCAGTTGTATTGCCAAAGTTTGAAGAAAGTAAAAGCATAACTCAGGGACTATTGACGAGGAAAGAATACGAAGATGTTTTGTCAAAACGCTTTAATTCCGTTTCTTGATAAGATGCACAGAATGAGAACTCATCATTTTACTAGCAGTCGCATGAACTGAGCGAGACTGCTTCCAGTATACCCCACAATAAAGTGACTTCTCCGCTTTCGTACTTAACGCAGAAAGGAGAACTGAATAAAAACGCTTTGAATTTCAAATAGCAACAGGTCTGAGAATTTGTTCTTTTTTCAGCGCAAGCAAGCAATTTTTTTTAAAAAAGCACTTTGAAGGTTCTTTTATTAACAAGCTGTCAACTTAGTACTTAAATCTCCAGTGATATCAGTGGAACTTCAAGAGAACTTAATTTTGACTGTGGCATTTAAAGGGGGATTGCCAAAATACAACCGTGTTTCCAGTATCAACAGAAGTTTTGTTTACCTATAGTTTATCATTTCACCCTCTACTTTATGAAATGAAGACTAAATCTTGACAGAGTGGCATCTATCTACCATTAACAAGTTTGTTATTTGGAAGAGTTTAATGTTGAAATGTACACCTGAGCGAAATATTGTGGATGGTAGCTAATGCAATAACTAGACACTCACTAGCTAATATGGCCTTTTCACTCTCATGGTAATTTGAGTAGGATGCTTAACCTTTCTCCTCACTTGCCCCTTTTCTACACAACCAGCTTTTTGCCTCCATTGAGAGTTTGGGATAGGACTGGCGTTGCAGAAGAAAAGAGGCAAGCAGGTGACAAGGACAGAAAATAGATGGCGGGGAAGCCCTTATTCCATACTTTGCACATCAGAGTAATGTGCAAAGTAATGAGTAATGAGATTAGGAATTCTCTTTTTGCCATTAAATGTCTAATTTTTATCCTAAGGTAAGAGAATAAAAAGGAGAAATTAACCACAGCCACATCAGTCATTGCCTAAGTTTCTCAGGTTTGCAGGACTCTAAATAGGGGTTGAATAATAGCGAGACTTCAGACCAGAGCACTTCAATAACTGCAGCAAACATACATACATACATACATACATACATACATACATCTCAAACAAGAATGAAGAATGTTTAGTTTCTACAAAACAAGTAATGCCCTCTTTGTAGTGACTGGTTTTAACAGCTACAACTTACTTCCAAGTGGAATTATATAACCTTTGTTAGCTACCTAAAACTGAGGGATAAAATTTTACACTTAAAGCTGCAGTCCTAAGCTCACTCACTAGGGAGGGAAATCTCCCTAAACTCCCTGGGAGATATTTCTGATAAAATAGCTTAGAGCATACGACACAAATTTTACTGACTGTGTGAGCGTACTATAAAAACAAACAAGACAAACACAAGCTCTTAACTAGTTGGCTTCATCAGCACTAACAAAAACCTTTATTTTTAGCTTTGTAAGTTGGTAAATTTGGTGGTGTTCTTTTTTTAAAAAAATAGTGAGGTTTTCAGAAGGCTTTTATCCTTAAAGCTTTCTTGTAACTAACAAATGCTTTCAGAAGAAACAGCAGCTTGGAGACCTTGGGACCAAATCTTGCCCCTAAAGAGACTATGCCTGCCTCTTTTCCTTCCTCCTCTCAAGGTAAAAGTGGGACCTGTGGCAACAGAACCTGTTTGCAGGTCACTTTAGGAGGGAGGGGGATAGATTCTAGTCCCATCCGTTACTCCCTTTTCAAAAACACTCTTCCACAATACCTATTTTCAGACCAGGGTCCTTAGTGGTGACTGTTAAACAAACAACAAAATACCAATATTTGTCGTCCCCCCCCCCCCCATGTAGCATATCAAAAGACTATCCAGTTCATGTGCATAAAGATCTATAGCAGCATCTTTGGGGTTGTAGAGTAAGACATTCATAAATGCACGGGATTACAAAAATAGCGGTACATATTAATAGTGAACAAAAACGTATTCATTTTACAAAAATATGCAGCCATTTAAAGCTGTGTGTTGCTTTTGTTAACTGCCAAGTACCATGACATCTATTAGATGTGAAAAGGTTACAAGAGCTTTTTTCTATCCTGGTTTCACCTTTCTCAAAAGAAAGCAATTAGGAGAGGCTTAGTGTACAAACTCTCATATGGAAATCTTTTTGTTCCCAAAAAGCGCCTTAGAACGGTTTGTTCTCCAAAACACTGAGGTATGCTACGTGTTGTTCCAAGGATTTTATCCCAAAGGAGTCTGTTCTCCCAGCCAGGCCACCGCTTTCTCTTGCTACGGTCTGCAGGCCATTTTCTCTCCAGGGATGATGGGCTCTAAGATAGTCATTTCCTCCTCTGTGCTGCAATAAACGTAATTTATAAATACAAGTTGTTGCTCCATCCAGAAATGGGTTCATTTTGCTACATTTAGATAATGTGTGCATGCCAACTCACCTTTCTTAGTAACCTGCAGCTAAGTGGAAGAACTTGGGCCAGCAGATCGAGAATATACTTTGCTTTGTGAATACACGCGTCCACCTAAACACAGAGTAAATCTGGGCATCACAAAAGAGTTCATGAAACGCCGCCTGTGAAAATTGCTTTCGCACTTTTATCAAACACATTTATTAGTGGCTCAAACTCCGCTACAATTTCTTCCCTCCACCGTCACCTTTTAAGGATAACGAGCGCAATCCAGGAGGAAGTTTCTCCTGCACAAGCCTTAATTAAAGGAACAAGAATCAAATGAAGACACAATAGCACAGCTGTATGGTCCCAAGTCTCTTAAGCTGCTCTCTTGCAGGATTGAATTCGATTGAAAGGCTTTAATCAAAGAACTAGCTGTCTGGCTTTCAAGCAATGAACCTGCTACATTTTTTCAGTGCCTTAAAGGTGATCTTTGTATTGTTTTTGGAGAATCCTTAAAAAGGTAACCTCTCTCTTTTAAAAAATGCACAAATTTAAGACAGCCCATCATTTATTATTACTTTTGAGAAAGGAAAACAGGCACCTTTGTTTTCTTTACGGTTGGGAAGCAAGCAATATGCTGAATACTTTGTAGTGAGCTTAAACAGAAGACAATTCATGGTACCTGTGTTCCATTAGACATGCTTTTAAAACAGGCCTGAGCATACATTCTACAAAGTGCTGATGGCATAACAAGATTTGTGCTTGCTTTTTAAAAATCTGGGACCCCTATTTCTTTGTTGGAACAAGGAAACTTTTTGGAGCACCACATTTGTTTCCAGAAGACTTGTCTGGCTACGATTTGTTTTTAAGCGTCACCGTATAATTGTAAAGTGGCCTCCCAAGTTGAGACCTGGCTAATTTTAGCGACATAATAGCACCATACAACCTCTGCCTGCTCTATTCAACACACACAACTAAATAATATGTGTGATCCTCAACATTAGTCATACTCAAAGCAGGCTTACTGATTTCACTGAGTCTACTCTCAGCATGACTAACACTAGGTTTTCTTCCTTCGACTACAAACAAAGAGAAGATTGAAAAAGCAAGTTCATTTGGCAAAACTCTCTTTAAAATTTATTAAGAAGCTTACCTTTGTGAAAGTTGCAGTTTTACCCTGAACAGGCGTTTTGGCTGTTACCTGAAGCTGCTGATATGCAGGGACCATTTTGTCAATCTCCTGTAGAACCAATGGCTTGTCATCATCTTCCAGCTGAAACGAACACATAGATGCCTCTAAGATAGGAGAGCTAAACATGACGGAATTTATATAAGGGGAAAAGGCTAGGAACCACGCATGGAAGCATCAAGAACAGAAATTTTTAAACGCAACTTTTTTTTCATATTTGGAATTTGTACGGTACCTGATTAGAAAATGCAAGGAGAGCCGAGGCGAGCTTAAGTCCTTCTGCAGCAAAGGCCTACAACAGAAGGGGGGGGAGTTAAATGCAAACCTAAAAAACAGTCAACACAAGAGATGAGGGGAGGTCCTACTCTCAACAACAGGCCTGGAAACCTGTTGAACAAGTCAAATGCAGCTCAAAAGGAATACACTTTAAAATACTGTTGTTTAAGAGAGACAGCTCACTTAAAATAAATACACTGGTGTAAGAGTGTGTGTGTGTGTGTGTGTGTGTGTGTGTGTTTAATAATACATCCACTGGCTGTCTGCAGTCCCCTCCCTTTTCCTTGTAGCCTATCCTGACCTGCAGACACGAAAAGACCTGCTCCAAGAGAGAAATGGAGGCACGGGTATATCCAGGATCACATGTCCATAGTTTGAACGATATATATATGGGAGGCAACACAGCAATATTCTTCCTGTCTCCCACCAGAATAAAACTGGGAGGAAAGATTAAAAATCAACTTGGTGAATGAAGCAAGCCCCACTTCTCTTCTCCGCTCCAAAAATTACAATCAATACACAGTTCACATATACGGAAATCCTTTTTTTAAAAAACGAAGAACCCTCAAGATACATACAAATGTACTTATTAGATTTCCCCCACCTCTAAATGATACCTAAGAGGAATAAGGTTTAGGGAAAATATTAACCTAGACAAAAAGTGCTATATTCATTAGGCAACCCAAAGGCCCCATGATTTAATTGCTCAGTGTTTTTGCTAACAGAACCTCACGTTGTTCCAGGAATTAATTAAAACATTTTGCTGACAGCATCTTGAAAGTAGTTTGCGATCTCTCTTTTGGTTGTTCATTACCTCTGACTGCTGAAATAAATCCTGAGTGGTTTTCAGCAGCCCTTCCCCTCTAAAGAAAAGAGAGAGAGAGAGAGAGAAATAATAATGATAGTAACAATTCCAACACACTAAAGACCGTTTAATCTACAAAGCCCTGTGATTAGGGCTCTGGAGGGCTGGGGCAGAGAAGCTGAAGATTTTGTGCAGAGGTGGGCGACTTGTGGTCCTCCAGGTGGGATTGCAACTCTCACTATTCCTGGCTGGGACTGATTGGAGTTGCAAGTCCGACAACTTCTGGAGTTGTCCAGAAAAGACTCTGCCAAGGAGAGAACAGCTCAATCTCTCGGTTCTGCTCCAGACTTGGGCATCGCTTTGGCTGAAGATACAGGAACACAGTGATTTTTTTTATCAAAACATCCCTCGCGACATGAGAACGAGCTGTCTTTGCTGTAACTACATCAAGGTTACTTAACT